AAAACCTGCAGGGTCTTTAATCATACAGAGAAATGCCACCGCTTTTTTTTGACAGGCAGCTCTTTTCCTAGGTGGTAACAGCAACAGCATGCCCCAACATGGGGTAAAACCAAGGCCTGTCCCCAGCACATTGCATCCGCACCAAGGCACCAAGTGCTCCAGATAAAGTCTCTAAAATTCTGCACAAGCGAACCCTTGAATGTAAAAAGGTGACCCGTACTGCTCTGAAGGCCGGCATCGGCTGCCTGCCTGGATAACCTGGGTTGGTGTATTCTCCTTAATTTTGAGCTGCAGCTCAAAAGTCGCATTGCTTTTGAGTAAGCAGTCTACTCTCCTAAAAGCAAGTTCCCTGCCTCAATAACCCCCTCTGGCATTCAGAGCATCAGGATGGGGAGAGCTCTGTCCGTCCTGGACTGCCTCATTCACCTTTGGAGGAACACGTGACTTTGCTGACAGTACTGGAACAAGAGCCAAAAGAATAAATATTCCTCATTTCTTTGTTAGTGGATAACCATTTAATTAGTTGTTCACCCTCTGGGGCTGTAGGTTCTTATATAAGTAGATAATGAGCAATTACCATTACAGCGTTTTGTTTTCACGTGGTACTATGTGGATTCCAGCACTGACCATGTTTCAAAGGCTCATGTTCCAGGTTATCACCCAGTAACGCTGTGGGAAGCACCAGCAACCCCTTTAGAAGATGACTTTCTTAGAGGGGACAATCTAGCAGTATTACAGGTGCTAACATAAATCCCACCTGCTCTTACTGGACTTGCTTCATGGTAGTTTGAAGTGGTGTTGCTACCCACTACAATGGGAAAACCCTAAAATATTCCAAGGAGATTATGTGGTTGGGTGCTTCCCGAAATACTGCCTTTCATGTCCTTAATGCCACCCTTGCCTTTCCTGCTTTGGCAGGGAAAGCCAACATCAGGGTTACACGGAGTGGTTTAGAACGGAAAGTTATTGGACAACACAAAGGTTTAGGTTTGGAGTAGCCCCCAGAAAGGCTGCCGTGCTAAGAAAAGCGCCTGATGCAAGTCAGGACTTACAGGATGTACTTGTGTTGAGGTCAGCAACTGGCAATTAATTAATTCGTTAAAATACCTGGAGAGATTTAAAATGGGCACATGGCGAGAACATGCGTGCAAGAGGATCTTGAAACCACTTAAGCTTTAGGGCAAACAAAAAACAGATGGGAGATGGGTGCGGTGATGAAAAGGTGTAGGCAAGGAGCCTGTATCTGTCATTATTCCTGCAGCTACAATTTAATTACCATTCCTAGGCTTTGGGGAACAGAGATTTTTTAAAGAAAAAAGAAAGAAAAAAGGTATGGGAAGGAACACAAGTTCTGTGGTTGGAAGATGCCCCTTAGCATCATCCCAAGTCTCTGCTAAGACTCTTAATATGCTTTACTCATCACCCAGAATAGAAACTGTTTCCATAATCTTTAATGTTAAAGAATTGCTTTCAAAGGGAAAAAAAAAAATTAAGCAGCAAAGCCCTTCACTTCCTCTCCTCCCTGGACTTCTCCTTGTTTCAGCAGCACCAGAGCAGAACTCGGCACGAGGCACAAGGAAGGCAAGAAGCCCTTCTCCAGCTGTCTGGGTGATAAGCAGATGTGCACTGCAGTCTTGTTTTATGCAGTGGTGAGCTGTGACAACAGGCTGCATCAACAGGTTACAGAAAGGCAAGCTATATACCTGGAGGACGTTACTTAAAGCTTATCTTAAAGTTGTAATGCAGTGACGGTAAGAGGCAAAATTAGCAGCCTACTCTGAATGGAAGATGTTTTTTTTCTTGAGGCCTATAACGACAAAGTGACAGTGACTTATACCACCAGGACAACAAACCAACCCATTAGAAAGGAACAACTATCACATGGCAGGGCTCAAATAAAGCAAAATTTTAGTTTAGATTTTAATACTTGCTGAAAAGGTCCAAAATAATTTTTTCTAACACTGTTCTCCTGGTTGCTAGAACGCAGGAAGAAATATATTTGGATTTAAAGAACAAAATAACAACACAACCCCCAAAACTTGATTTTTCACAGTATCTAAACAGCTAATGAAGTTCGTTTGTGGAAAATAGATGAAGTGCCCGCAGGGAGGAATTCACTATTGAAAAAGTTGACTAGCAAATGTCGACTGAGCTGTATTTAGTCCTTTCCACACAAAAGCCATGCCAGGCAAAGCAAGCCAAAGGGGAGGAGTAGGGAACATGAGTTATTACTGAGCAGAGGTAAAGCCCAATTTATTTATTATTTTTCCCCAAAAAATGCACGGTGATGGAATAAAGATTTGGGGGTTGGGATTTTTTTTGCTATTAAAATCCTGTCTATCTGTACCTAAGATGGCATATGTTTGACCTAGCCACCGAGACAGATGCACCCAGAGCCAAATGGCACATACTGGTTCACTCTAAGAAAACCAAAGCCATTCTGCTACTGGGGGCACGATGCCTGGGGAACACACGTACAGAGCAGCACGTACAATGAGCTGGGGTGAAGAGGCTGGTTGAGCTCGTTTCAAAGGCCAGAAAAATGCATTGTGATTATTGGGCCAGCTGCTGATCCACACAGCAAATTGAGAATTACAAAATTTCAGGTGCAAGAGCTGCTTCAAACCAGTGCATCTTTCTAAGTGCTACCCGTTAACCCCTCGTACAGTTCTTCTATCAGTTAAAATGAGGGATGCAGGTGAAGTAGCACATGAGGTCGCAATGTCAAGGAGCTTTTTCCTAAACGGAGCATCGTTATGTGACTTCTGAGCTTAGCCAGGGATGCTGAAGTCAATACAAGCTGAGGGCTCTCCCCATTTTGCAGTACCGAGCATAGGGCTTGAACTAGAAAAGATTCCTGTCCAAGGATAAGGATTTTATTTTCTTTTTAAAGAAATGAGGATAGAGGGAGCAGAGTCTTGGCTAGAGAACGGAGTAGGGGTGCTTTTCTCACTTTACGACAGCCATCAATAGGGAATGTGTTATTTTGTCATGTCAGATTTCCTCAGAATAAGCAGCTCATGATAGTTTTGTGATGGAAGTTAAGTTAGAGAAAAACTGACAGAACTGTGATTTCCCAAAGGAAACAAAGCAAACATAATCTACTTTTTGAAAAAAATCTGATTTTATTTTTGTATTGAAAAGACCTGTCAATTTAAATAGATGTTTATTTCCATTCATGGTCTCAACCAGTGTTGTGTGTTAACATTATTCAGAACTGTATAAAAAGCCATTTGTGTTACATTGGTTAACATCCTAGAACACGGGGGGGGGGGGGGGGTGAAAGGCTTCACACTACAAAACGAGAACGT